GGGGGGGGGAGGCGGTGGTCCCGTAGAAGCGATCTGGCGACAGCTGAGACACCAGAGTCGCTTCTGCTGTAAAGCCGACAGAGTTTAAAAAAAACATTGTTTTTAAATTTAAGTTAACTTTATTTTTTTAAACTCCCTCGTCCCAGCGTACGCGCACATACTATTGCAAACCCGCGTCAAGTACGTACAAAAACGATCATTGCGCCACACATTAGTTATCGCCGCATGATTGAGAGCAATATTTTTAGGGCCAATGTTCAAGGTTAAAGTAGAACTATGAGATGAGTGATTTCCACTCATCCTCATAGTTAGAGCTGACCTGTGAGCACAACTGGCTCTGCCTCTAGATAGGCAGAGCCAGCTGTCACTCACGCAGCTGGGTGGATCCAGACAGTATTGTCGATATCCGTCCCGGCTGTGGCGCTCTCAGTATATCGTGGGCAATACCCCGCTATATACTGAGCTTTGGGTCATGGGAGGAGGTTTGTATATGTCCTCCCGTGACCCCAAAAAGAACTATGAGAAAACACACTTAACCCACCTCTTTTAACTCTAATGATTCTGAAGACCTGTACAAGCTTTTCAAGAGTTGTCTAAGGACAATTTAGGGTACCGTGTTTTTTTACCACTTCATGGGTCCATGCAATTTGTAAGCCTTGCATTTTGGGTATCTATTTACTCAGCACAGCCTCCTCTTTTACATTTAAAAAAAAGTGTAATATTTTGTGTATTCAAGCACTAAAGTTTACTTAAGTATATTTTTTTACTGAAATTTTAGGTTTGATAACTAGTTGTGTTACAATCATGTGACATCAAAATTTGCAGCTGCCACCTTTTTATTCTATAGGGTCTCTGCTTTCAGGAAATACATTATATAATTCTGGGTGTTTTAAATAATTCTCATGCAAAAATTACTATGGCAGCAAAAGGGTTAAAGACCACTGGCCTCTCAGTATCTCATAAAGATCTTTGTTCTGGGAGTTGATGTGGCTCTCCCTGACAATTCTTCTCTCCTTCCATGGGATATGATTTAGTTTTTTGAAAAGACTTGCTGAGCCTGTCAGAGATCACCTTCCTCTTCCTCCAATTTTTCAAGCCTATAAATAGGGTTTCCCCTTTCCTGTCAAAGATCACTCCGTAAGGACATCAGGCCTCCGTTTTCAAGGTTTATAAGGCTGCTACTTAGTCTTCTGTTCACATATTCTCTAAGCTTTACCAAGAAATTCTTCTGATGCAGCTTTACAGGCTGCTCTTTGAGCTGCATGCAGTCTCCTGGTTTTTCTTGTTGGGCCTGTTGGCTTGTGTTGCTTTGTTACCCACACCCCAGTTGTATTGCTTATGGACATCATGTATCCCTCAATGGACAAGAGGGGAAGTGAGATTTTTGTACTCATTGTAAAATCCTTTTCGCTGAGTCCATTAGAGGATACAGGTCCCCACTCCTCTGCACTTGTGGCTATTGCTCTTGGTGGTGCTTTGCTATGAACTAAAGCATGCTGATCTTTGGAGGGGTTATACCCCACAATCTGGACTAACGCCGAGCGGTGAGGAGAGAGAGACGCTCAGTCTGGATCTGGCCGCCGGCACCTCTCTCTCCCCTCACCGCTCGGCCTTAGTTATTTGACAGCGGCCCATCCCCCCTCCCCGTGGCTGAAGTGCTTCGTGTCGGATCCCCCGCTGCCTCTGCCCGGGAGAGCAGGGGGATCCATGGGAGAAGCTGAGCATTTCTTGCCTCGGGCGCAAACGGAGCTGGCTACGGCTATGCTCCCACGGTGCTCGTGCGGCTGCCGAGTGAATGTGTTAGACGCCGCAGATGGAAGGGGGCAGGACACCTCTCCCCATGTGCAACGTCGGACACACGAGCACCACGGGAGGATAAGACGCCGTGGCCTCTAGGATGCACTGGAATGTTAGCCGGCCGACTCCCTGCGTTCAGGGGCGGGAAGGGGTGTAGGGTTGTATTGAAGTCAATGGCACCGCAGGCATGCCCCCCGCCCACAGTGCGATCGCCCGCACCCGGAACGCAGGCACGTTCGCGCCTGCATTCCAGTCCAGTGCGATCTGCAAAAATAGTGTTTGCAGCAAATGTGCCTGGGTTCCGGGTGCAGGCGATCGCACTGTGAGTGAGGGGCCTGCCTGTGGTGCCATTGACTTAAATGAACCGCCACACCCCCTCCCGCCCCTGAATGCAGGTGTTTTTTCGTTGGTAGATCTCATTGAGCTCGTTATTTGAAAAGTAGATCTCCAGACTCAATTTTGTGGGCTCCCCTGCTCTACAACACTTTGCTACCAAGGTCTCTGTCTTTTGCATACCTGAAATTCGGTAGTGTATGTTATTCACACATTTTACTGAGAGAAGATATTTTAAAAAATTATTTATGTTGTAGTTTCTGCTTGCTGCTGCTTACTGCTTTCATTACTTGCCGATCCATAATCATGGTTTATATTTGTGCATAATTTTACAAACTTACAGCTTCTTTAATTCATTATTATAATGCTGCTTTATATTTATTACACTTGTGGCTTTTGCAGATATGCAGCAGTTGGAGACGCATCTTAAAAACAGAAAAATACATGACCAAGAAACACGTGAGCCTCTTTTGACACAACTTCATCAACTTATAGAATCACTTCAGACTACAACAGACCAACTGTCTTCTAACTTGACCAGCGGTATGAGGTCAGAAGTCCAGCATCAGCTACATGTAGCTGTGGGAAAGTAAGTTTTTCTTAAAAGAAATCAAACTATGAGCTGTTCGAAGTGGCTGCAGTAGTTGAGCTCCAGGCTTGTTCCAAAGCCACAACTCTAGGAACACCAGTTCTGGCTCCTGAACTGCTCCAATACCCCCAGCTCCAACTCTAAAACTGGTTTATAAACTACTGCTCTAGATCAAAAATTATTCAGAGCAGCCCTGCTCAAATACAGCTGCTCAATTTACATAGGTGCTTCGGGAGGACTTTGAGGATCACCATATAAACGTAAAGGTTTTTTTTCCTGTAGTCTGTAAGTGTGTAGCAGGGTGCTGTGTCTAAAAGCTTTAAGGGTGGT